AATACAACGCCACCTTGAATTTTTTTGACAGTTTGTCCGTGCTGGGATAATAATTTTTGAGTAAAGACCTATAAAGTAAGATTCTTTTTAAATTAGAATGCTATTTCAGTCACTTTTGTGGATTACTTATCACAAAGTATTAACTTAATTAAAGTCTATCGGATATCGTAAAATGATGGGCCACTATAGCCGTTATTTTTGTATTTTGTCAGTTTTAGTAATCAGCATTTGAGATTACGAAAAAGCGGTATCTACGTTTAAAATCTCACTTCCATGGATGTCACATACGTGGATTACGGTTATCCACGGAGGTGACTTAACGTCCATGGATGTGACAGTACTGTAATCGTTCTTTAGTAATTTAAAAATTATCAGTATGATTAATTATAATATGTAAATATTTCTTGATCCAGGGTAATTATAGCACTAAAAATTAGGAACAGATCAATCGCAAGACAAATGAATGCAAGAAGCGACGTCGGAAAAAACAAAGTCCAATCCACCGTAGTACGAACAGGCTAAAGCTACATAAAGAGAACGTTATAGAAATCTAAAATAAAATTATATCTATTGATCAAATGTCAGAGAGAAAACAAAAAAATAAACAGAAAAAGAATGGCGTAAGACGCAAAAAATTTGTAGAATAAATGAAAAATGCAGGGAAAGATTTTTATCGAGTTTGCGTGATGATCGCCTTAAAGTGACATTGAAAATGATCTAGTTTCAGTTAGGCATTTAAACATTAGGAATTCTCCTAATGTTTCAAGCATACATTCTCTTCCGGTCTTAAGTAGATGATTTCGTTCTGTCTGAAGCCGTATTTTGTCATCTTACAAAGACCTATCTCTATCAGTGTTAGAAAATTACTCGCCTAGAATACTTGATTCATCAAGTAGTTGTAGTAAGTACTACATCATACCAAAACAAAACTGGACTTGACAACTTAGCTGTGCAAAATGTGATAGAAATTGATCTCATAATGGAATAGTAAAGTCATATACACGAAGTGCCATCGTTGAAGAATCTCTTCCTGGCTCAAGTCATGACATTCCACATAGAGTGCCAGAAAATACTGTGATAGTAACTGAAGAATCTCTTCCTAGCCCTCGTCATGATATCCCACGTGAACTGCCAGAAAATACTATGATAGTATTTGAAGAACCCAACACATTTGACAGAACTCAAATAACAGCTGTAATGGGGTTGTTATAAACTAATTTGCTTAATTCCGCGTGAAGAAAGAAAATGATGTGTCCTGCCCAGTTTTAAGGGAACCTCCCACCCTCCCTCAATCGCGCGCACTATACCCGTCGCCGTTAATCCCAGCACTACCACCCCCATTACCACCACACTAGGCACGACACACCACTCTCGAAAATACGACACGTGTTTCGCCTCTACACGAGGCATCCTCAGGTGAAGTAAGCGCTTAGCGGCGAGCCTCCGCAGAGCTGGCCGCTTAGCTATGACTTCTTTTCGGGAATTGATCGAAGGCAACTGATTAAATTGATCTGCAAAACGACAAATTTTACATTGGTTAAATTGTCACTGTACTGGATTATAATTCTCTAATCTTTTACGTGGTAGAGCCACGCTGCAGCTATATTTTGGTTGTAGTATGAATGAGTCAGCTCGACTGGGGTGTACTGAGACAACGTAAAATAGCAGCTTAATGCTGATGTGTTTCGTATGTTGAGTGTAGAAAACCGGAGACCCTTTTTACTGGTAAAGAGGCATTCCATCTTAGTCCTCAGGCGTGACAACACATCTCAATTTTGATTCGCAATCGAGAATAGATGTAGATGTCTATGGTCCACAGCAACCATTTATCATCAGGTGAATTGGGTGCCCTTTTGTCACCCTACTTCTATAAACAAAAATTATAGTATTATACCAAGCTTGATTCCAGTTGACAAGTGTAATGAAGAATACACGGAGTTTATTTGGCCACAGTGTAAAAATGTTTCGGATTGTAGTTATTACTGTTAATTTATCACAATCACATTGCCGTCAAATGTTAAAAAAATATTATTACGATCCCATCCCATCTTGGCTAAGATTCTATGTTTAGTTTTATTTTTTTCTAAAAATGATTAAATTGTTACCTTTTTTTATTATAGTTTCTCATTTATAATAATTTAAATAGTGTCAGTTACTTTATTTCGTAAGAGTTTTGCAAGTTATATGCTAACTAAATAATGTTGATTAATAATAACTTAATTACTATTAAAAGGTCGCTTATGTGACCAGATAGAACCGAATAAAAGTTTTGTTAACTAATTTGAGTTCCTATAAAACTTATTAGTAATAGGTATAATTAACATAATATTAATTAAGCGTAAATACGTACTTAAGACTTAAAATTAATGAATACCAAACTGATTAGTTACATAGAGATAATAATTAAAAAAATACAGTTTTATTCGTCCATAAATCATTAATAATTTATTAAAATTATACAAATATGTCACTACCGTGGAGTTGTGTCACTTCCGTGGAGAGGTGTTTTCATTTTTCATGTTTTTTGTGAAAACTACAATGAAAATAGCTAGGCTTTTATCTGCTCCATTTTGCAAGATAAGATACCATTCATTTGAGACTACTTTGAATCAAATCAAATAAAAAAAATATTTTAGAATTTTAAGTCCGTTTTTGAGAATGGCCCAGATACGTTTTGCTAATACATAAACTATACATAATATATGACCTACACATACAAATATATTATATACAAATATATAAATACATGCATATACATATTAAAATTCATATATATAGACGCATATATTCGTAGTTATTTGTATGTACTAATGTACATACAAACAACTATGAATATATGCGTATGTTTAGCAATACATATTAAATGGATGAATCATGTAAAACGCGTTGTCTTCAATAGATGATTACGAACCAATTTTTTAAAAGCGTATTTATTGAGTGTTTTTCTGATGTCATCAGGCACAGAGATCCAAAGGCGTGTAGCCTGAACTGTGAAGGAGTTACCATAGAACTGGGTGAAGTGAATAGGAATATAGATTTTGTTGTCAGAAAAAGAACGTAGGACCCTATCATGATAAGAGGAGAGATAGTGAAATTTACTGATAAGAAAATGAATTCCAAATTAAAATAACGCTTTATTTTAAATATGTCAAATTAGCGATGGGCAAGTGAAATAATACATATCTGTCTGTCTGTACATCATGAATTAGATTGATGTAGGTTTATTTGTTAAAGTTAATGTGTGATTATGAATTTGAGTTTCTTTTACAATATTTTAGTCGTAAATACTTAGACTCTAAGTGTTAGATGAGAAGTTATGTTATAAGAAAATGCACGAAAATATGTAAAGGCAAACTGAATTCTGTATCTGTAATTCTATACTATAAAAAAATCTTATTCTGTTAAACTGTATTCACTACTGTACCACATCTTTTACTCCATTTTTTTATAGGAGAGGGGGCAAACGAGCATGCGGCTCACCTGGTAGTAAGTGACTACCGCCGCCCATGAACAACTGCAACACCAGGGGAACCAGGGGAATTGCAGATGCGTTGCCGGCCTTTTAAAAAGGAGTAGGCTCTATTCTTGAAGGTCCCTAAGTCGTATCGGTCCGGAAAAATCGCTGGTGGTAATCGATTCCACAAGGAAGTTGTGCGAGGAAGAAAACATCTTCTAAATCGCACAGTGGTGGACCGTCAATCATCCAGATGGTGTGGATGGTATCGGGAGTTCTGCCGCGATGTGCGTTCGTGAAATTTGGCGGCTGAGATTAATCCGAACAATTCCTCAAAGCACTCCCCGTGGTAAATGCGAAAGAAAATACAAAGGGATGCAACATATCTTCGCAGCGCCAATGAATCGAGCCGATCGGAAAGGACTCGGTCGTTGACGATTCGAGCCGCTCTGCGCTGGATGCGGTCAAGTGGAAGGAGCTGGCACGGGGGAGCCCCGGCCCAGAGATGGGAACAGTATTCCATGTGAGGCCGAACCTGCGCCTTGTAAAGTTGCAGGCGTTGTGCCGGCATGAAATACTGTCTCGCTCTGCTGAGCACGCCAAGCTTTTTAGAGGCCAATTTGGCCTTCTCTTCCAAGTGACCACGAGACTGCACGTCACTCGATATGTCGACGCCGAGGATTCCGATACTGGATAAGGCAACAAGGGGAGTGCCTTAACACCGAGGAAATACGACAAAGGGGTTCTTTTTAGCGGTAAAGACTTTGTTCAGCAAAAACTCGACTTCAGACACAAGTTTGTTCCGGTACTCGGCGACGTTTTCCCGAGAAATATTGGTATGGCCGGTGCATAGAGCATCACCATTGCTGTCATCCGCATAGCAATGAATGTTACCAGTTTGCAACATATCATTGATATGCAGAAGAAACAGTGTTGGTGATAGCACACAGCCTTGTGGAACACCAGCGTTAATAGGCTTGTAGTCGGAGCATGCACCGTCTACAATGACCTTGATGCTCCGATCTGCAAGGAAGCTAGTGATCCAATTGCACAATTTCTCGGGAAGCCCGGGTAGACAAAAGCTATCTTCCATGATTTCGGGACTACGCCTAGGGAGTAGGAGTACCGGAAAAGACGCGTAAGAACCGGTGCCAACTCCGGAATACACAACCTCAGCACAATTGGGGGGATCCCGTCAGGCCCACTCGACTTGTGGATGTCCAGGGAGAGGAGTGCTTTGCGAACCGAGCGCTGTGAGAACCGCACATCCGGCATCATCAGACAAAACTTTGAAAAACAGATCGATTGATAAGAAATAAAACCATTCGAATACTTGTTAATATTTTATTAACAATTTCGAAAATATACATACTTACTACATTTATCTTATAATGAGTTCATTTATGATATTTTTATTTATAAACATTTGAATTTTATGTCTATCCAGCCGTACAGGCATAAAATTCAAAATACGCTGTGATTGTTTCCTTTGCCCTAAAGTCAATCATCACAGACTATATACTATTGCAGCCCTGTTATAATTTCTTTAGACGTCGTATAGCGCCTGTAATCGATGATCTACTGTACCATCAAACACATACGGTTCAAAGTCGCTTGAAATAATTTCTTTCCACCATTGTTTGGGTGTTTCTTCGACTACGATCATCGGTAGAGTTGGTCGTTGGATCCTCTTTGGAGCTTTCATATCGCGAACGTATTGTGGTATAAGCTGAAACAGAGACGGTAATTTTGTTACATTTCATCTCGTGAGTATTGTACGAGACTGAGAAACGGCTGTTGGAAATGCCAAAGAAATGTTAAGGCTTCCTCGTTTACGTCAAATGTAAGACAATGAGCAACAGCATTAAAGGTGCTAGACCGCGCTCTGCAATTTTCAACCCACAACAACGTCATATGTTTTGCTAAGTAAGACGACTAAGACTTTTTTTTTACATGGTAGAGCCATGCTGCAGCCATATTGTGGTGAGCCATGCTGCAGCCATATTGTGGTTACAGCACGAGTTGGTCAGCTCGACCGAGATAGGACCACGCTCTCACAGAATACCAGAGTAAAATAGCAGCTTAATGATGATATGTTTCGTATGGTGAGTATAGAGTACCGGATACCCTTTTTACTGGAAACGGGGCATTCCATCTCAGTCCTCTGGGGTGACAACGCATCTGCATTTTGATTCTTAATTGCACATAAATGTTGATGTCTATGGGCCACAGCGCCCACTTACCATCGGGTTCACTGTGTGCTCGTTTGTCTCCCTTATTCTAAAAAAAGGGCAAATTCATCAACGAGTGAGGCATGTCCAATAGTGGACCCTTACAGGCCATTAAAGATGAATGAAACATTGGTAAGAAAAAATTTATGAAATCAATGGTCTTTGATTATCTTACAGATCCCATCCAGGTGAAGCCAGAGCGGGTTGCTAGTCATCATTACAACCCTTCACAAGTCCACTGGTGAACATAGGCCATCCCCATAGATTGCCTCATAGGAGGGGATATTTGCCATAGTTGTAATGTTACTGTTAATTTGAAAATTTCACCTCTCAGTGGGTCATGTGCTCCTGGAAGATTATCTTCTATACATCCATCAATTACAGCCTATTAAAGTCCACTGCTGAACATAGGCCTCCCCCATAGATTGCCTCATGGGAGGGATATTTGTCATAGTTGTAATGTTACTGTTGATTCGAAAATTTCACCTCTCAGTTGATCATGTGCTCCTGGTAGATTATCTTCTATACATCCATCCATACAGCCTATTGAAGTCCACTGCTGAACATAGGCCTCCCCATAGACCTCATAGCGAGGATTTTGCCATGGTTGTAATATTACTGTCCATTTGAAAATTTCACCTCTCAGTGGGTCATGTGCTCCTGGTAGATTATTTGCCATACATCCATCCAACAGCCTATAAAATAAAGTCCACTGCAGGACACAGGTCTTCCCCAAGGAATGCCACAAAGCACGGTTCTGAGCCACCTGCATCCATTGACTTCCGGCATGTCTTACCAGATCGTCACTACATCTTGCGGAGGCCGCCCTACACTTCGCCTACCGGTACAAGGCTACCACCACTCGAGAACCTTTTTTCGCCATCGGTTGTCTGTTTTAGCCAGTTATATGGCCGGCCCATAAAGTATATGATAGACGGTAAAGTTAGTTAAAGTTAAAACCTTAATATTATTTGCGTCGGGACCTCGTTTCTTCCTTAGATAGTTGAAACAGCATGACCTGAAATGTCTCGTACCACATGCGGACGCACACTCGCTGCCACAAGAATTGCAGGAAAGGCCAGCCGCCAGGAGGTTACCTATCCAGAAAAAAATGACCATCTTAATAAAGCTTTAAAAATTCACCCAATTGAAAATTAATGATATAGGTAGATTGAATCAACTATTAGTATATAGCTACATTTAGAAGGGTTCAAATCTAAGTAACCTAGGTCGCAATAACGTTCTAGATTTGATAGATCTTCTTGTAAAGCCTTCATATCACAAGAGCTTCGTATCGTCGGCAAAACATAATAAGCGAGCTTCCTTTAAGTAACAGTTAATGTCATTGATAAAAATAACAAATTATATCGGTCTCAGGAATGAGCCCTGTGGCACCCCACTTGGAACAGTTAGCCATCCCGATATGTAGTTGCTAACGACAACAGCTTGTGATCGCTTTCAAATCAACGCTCATTTCATTACACCGATACATTCGATTATCTGCATAAACATCATCATGACAGCCATACTTTTCAACATAGGCTTACCCAATAGATTACACCAAATCACGGTCTTGAAATTGAAACACCCGCATTCATCGACTAGTAACATTGACAATGTGGGTTTGCCCAACACTATGCTTGCCAGTGCAAGGACTCTCTTGAGAACCATTCTTCAGGGTCTTGATTCCCCAAGATATATGGCTCTTCTATAGTGTTGGCCGTTGCAGTGTAATAATATACATTAGCCACTACCCTATATCGTGCCGTGGGTGTCGTAAGAGGTGACAGTGGGAAACAAACCAGGAATCGGGCAATAGTGTCTTCCCAATAACAACTAGAAATTAAAAACTGCGGTTGGTAACACAATGCCAAGCTAGAAAATTATGACAAATATACCATTTTAGAGACTGTCTAAGGGAAGGCTTATGTCTAGTATTGGTCATTTAAAGTGTTAGTTTATAGTATCAAAATAAGTATGTGTAAGTGGCTCCATCTATAACTGTATTGTCATCTTTTTCTCATTAAAATATTTTTAGTCTGTGGCAAGCACACAACCACACTTTATTATGTTATGGGCAAAAAGAATATAATCACTACGTTTAGTTATGGCCCTATGGGACGTTTTGTTAGAAAAGCTGCCCCGGTTGCGTTCCGATCGAAGATTCCGAGACCGTTCGTATACGCTGATAAACACCGTGGAGTTTTAGCCGGTAAGAGTACAGCATAACCTTTGCATAACCAAGTATCCATGAGGATTTTCCTTAATGAAAAAAGGACTTTAATAGGCTGTAATGGATGGAACGTTTGCCACTGAACTAATGATTTGATAAGTCTCTTTGACAAAGAGTGACAAAGTAAATTTATGTTGCAAAAAGTGAACAACAGAGCCGAGAAGGGACACCCTAGACAAAAGTTTATCGACCAAATTGGCGATATATTAAAGATAGGCCAAATTAAGAGTACCCTTAACCGACGAGCATGTATGCGTAGGTATGAGTATATAGATGTAAAGGAGTCGAAAGGGGTGTGTCAGAACGTGTCAAATGGAAGTTCGTAGTCTCTGCCTACCCCACTGGTGACAGACGTGAGTGTTTATGTTTATATTGATATGTTTAAGAATTATACACACATGCTTTTATACGAAAGGCACACTCCATGCAATTCTAAATTGAGCACTACTAAATCTTCGGGAAATAGCGTACGTGAGGGTAATGTGGTCATCCGGTTCATATTGTCACTTTCTTATAACTCAAAAACTACAGCTTTGTTTGCATAGATGGCTCTGTGATACGATAGCTCTTCCTCAATTAATCAAATAAAAAAAAAGGTCTAAAGGGCGCCGCTTTATCGACGCCATTTTGACAGTTGATATGAGTAAATATCTTTTTTTATTGATTTTTAATTATTGCCAAAGCTTGTTTGCTATTGTTTCTTAATATATTAGTTATAGTATAAGAAATTGTTTTTTGTCTCTGTCCTATTTCTAGTTTTGGTTTTATAAGGCGGAAAAGCTTGAAATAGAAACAGAAACTATTTTATTCAATATAGATTATAAATAATACTTATTGAATGTCACTCTTTTGTTTCATTACCACCGGTTCGAAAAAAAACCTCTGTCCTGGGAAGAACCAGCAAGAAACCCAGAGGGACTTTTTTTTGAATAACAGCTTACAATCATGTAATCACAATGAACCACAAAAACAAATTAGAAATAGCTTGGTAGCGATCACCTCATTCCCAGGGTTTATCATCATCCATAAATTCCTTAATATTATAATGACCCTTTTTATAACAACTTTGTTTAATGAAGTTTTTGACCTTTGAGCTGGTCAAAATTTGTATATTTTCTGGGATTTTGTTGTAAAAGCGTATACATCGCCCCAAGAATGAATTACTGACTCGATGGAGTCGAGTAACTGGTACTACTAGCTTGTGTCTGTTCCTAGTATTTACAGAATGAATATCACTTATTTTTGTAAAACTACTTTTATTTTTGTGTACGTACATTACATTTTCATAAATGCATTGAGAGGCCAAAGTTAATATATTAATTTCCTTAAATTTTTGTCGAAGTGACAGCGATCTTCGTTGAGATGACCATATTAACCTCACGTACCTTAATACCTGTGTTAAACTCCTCGGAAGACGATCCCTCCTTCTTATGTCGTCTAGAAGCTGCCTGCGACCATGTCGCTAATACAAAATTACTATTTTAATATATTATCCAATTTACAAATCACCGTGGGTTTGGGTCTTAAGATTTTTTCCTTTTTATTTTGTCCCGTGAGTGTCGTAAAAAGCGACCACGTTAAATGCCAGACCAGAAAAACCTAATGACCCCCTGCTAGATGGCGGTAGGTATAACCTTCTCGTTTAAATGTCAGATATAACTAAAGTACAGGTGGTACAACCCCACTGCAGCTATATTGTGATTGTAGTACGAATGGGTCCACGGTCTCACAGAATACCAGCGGGAAATATCAGTTTTCTCGTTTTTAAAGTAACCAAACGGTCACAAGGAGTAGCGTAATTTTTTCGATCAGGCTCAGACCAAGAAAGAAAGACATGTGAAAACGAAGACGGAACGCTGGGTCATATTACGACGGCTCCGTGGCGCAGTGGCTTAGCAATGAGTTACATCGCTGAGAGCCGCGGATTCAAATCCCGCGCGGAACAAGTAATTGTATGGACTACAAATAATTGTTCCGGGTCTGGATGTTTGTCCTTGTAAATTTCATGTATGTGAACTGTCCCCACGACACAGTAGAAAATCCTAGTGTTGAGGTAAAGTTTTTTAAAACAAGAAATGTAAAAGAAAAAAATTCAGGTGATTGAACCAAGCCAAAATTATGCATTTATTATAAGAACAAACACTCACGCACACATAGGCATCTAAAAACACTAGGAACCAACAACATGATTTTAGATGCATGTGCGTACGTCCTTCACTGCTGGCCGTATGAAGAAGCTCAAGGTGGCTCAGCGAGCTATGGCAAGGGCTATGCTCGAGGTTTCTCTGCATCATGGACGTAAAAGGAGGATATCTTCAGTAGAACCAGAGTAACCGACATAGCCTAACGGATTAATAAGCTGAAGTGGCAATGGTCCTGCCATATAGCTCCAAGAACTGACAACTGATGGGGAAGAAAGGATCTCGAGTGGCAGCCTCCTACCGGCAGACAAAGTGTAGGACGGTCCCTAGCTAGATGGAGTGACGATCTGGTAAGACATGCCGGAAGTTAATGGATGCAGATAGCACAGGACCGTGCTTTGTGGCATCCCTTGGGGGAGGCCTATGTTCAGCGGTGGACTTGTGAAGGTGATGATGATGATATGAGGTATTCCAACTAAGTTCTACTTCTTCACATCATTAAAAATGTACGCAGCGCTCACTCTATCTTTTTTTGTTGGTTTGGCGTAAAATTAAAATTAAAATTAAAATGTATATATATATATATATATCTCTTAGTTAACAATAAAGTACTTACCAATAAGAATTAAAGAGACAATGGCGGTAATCTTAAACATTATTCCGCGTAAAGAAACGTTTTACGCGCCAATTTTGACAGCTTTCTAAAGATGGCTGTCGAGTAAGGGAAGCTTACATTAGAATGACAGACATCGGCCATCACGGCTTATTTATATGGACCAAAGTTTACTTAAGTTGTAGGAGGAAAGACGTGATGTAAATATTTTATTCATACTTCATGCATTTTTAGCAGAATATTTCGGAAACATGATAGGTTTTCACTGAAAAGTGCTTTGTAAACTTTTTTCATTAACTACAAACTTCTTAATTGAGTCAAATGAGCCTATTTATATTTTTCATATGGTTTATTTTTAAACATTCTTACAATCTTTTTTTTTATTCTTTTCTTTATTCCAGTGCCAATACGTTATCACCACGACGACTAATCTTCGATTCCCGACGATGATAATTCTTCGAAAACGTATTGGCATTATTAACCGAGAATAGATGTAGATGTCTATGGGCCACAGCATCCACTTGCCATCGGGTGGACTGTGCGCTCATTTGTCATCCTTATTCTATAAAAATCCGGCCAAGTGCGAGTCGGACTCGCGCACCGAGGGTTCCGATATATAAGTCGAAAATTATTAAAAATATTTTTATAATATAATGTAACTAAAAATTACTGTTTTTCTCAATTTTTCCTTTATCTGTGCTATAATACGAGTTCACGGCAAGTACCCTGTAGGTTTTGATTCCCTTAGGAATGTCGAAAATTTGCGGCATAAACGGCTGTATCTTTTGATTGCGTTGGATTAGAAGTTTGATTTTTTCACAGTTCCCAGGGACAGTAGATTTGAGTATTTGATATGAATTTCAGCTTGATACCTCCACGCGTTCCTGAGAAAAAGGGTCTTGACAGACAGACAGACAAACAGACAGACGGACAACAAAGTGATCCTATAAGGTTTCCGTTTTTTCCTTTTGAGGTACGGAACCCTAAAAAGCGCAAACACAAATACACACGCGCAATTATATACACCGACTCACGCTCATCCATTCATGCAATTCAGAACAGAAGTAACACACACCCCATAGTCACACACATACACAAATACTTACATGAACACAAATGTATAGGCACCATACACATCGCCTGGGTTAAGGGACGCTCAGGTATATTGGGTAACGAAGCCGCCGATGAGGCTGCCAGGGCGGGCTCTAGACTCCACAAGTCGCCTGATTACTCTGAGTTCCCTGTTACACACATCAAGCATATAATTAGGAAAAACAATCGCTCCACCTGGCAAACTAGGTACCTCAGTGAAAATTAAGAATCCGACGTTTTGTCATATGAAATCGTATCTAACAATATTATTGTTCATATGAATGATATAAAAAGCACATTGTCAGAAAGATAATTCATTGTTTAACTTATAATTTTTTTGTTTCAAATCGATTAATTGCTATTTTTACATAAAAAAATGGTTTTAGTGGCTTATGGTGTGAATTTATCAAGTCCGCATGGAGAGGTAAACACGATAACTTTTGAAAATATCAATTGTTCAACTCAATCTATTTTTTAAACTCTTCATTTATCATTTGGGAAGCCATGGGATCTAAATGGCAGTTTAATTTTGTTTAACTTAGTTATAATTAATTTTATTCTGCTAGACTAGGCTGCTAAAAACACCGAAGTTTTCGGTGTTTTTAGCAGCCTAGTATTAATTTATTTTACTAAATACACTTTGCCTCACAGGTCACTCGCATTCGCGCTGAGCCGCCGTTGTGGGTAGACTACTTGTTTACAGCAGCGATAATAGGCAGCAAAAATATAGATTATTGTAGAAATACAAAATATTCCAAAAACCAAATTTGATACATACTTGACCAAGGTAAGATATTATTATTATTTTTATAATCACAGATTTTTATTACAATATTTTGTTTTGCTAAAACTACGCAGGATTTATATATAAATATACTTATACGTCTTGGACTTTATAGAGACCTGAAGGTGTATTTCGGTATCTGTTACTGGAACTCCTCGACGAATAGAACTGGGTGTGCCGAGGTTGTGCTTGTTATATTAGTTATGATGAGACCTTACTCCCGGACTTGACGGAGTGACTTGAAGATGTACTTCGGTGAATGCTACTGGAACTCCTCGAAGAGTAGTAATAGTGATAGGTGTGCTAAGTTTGGCCTTGTTTTGTTAGTTATGATAAGAACTTACCTACGGACTTGATAGAGTGACTTGAAAGTGTACTTTAATGACTGCTACTGGAATTCCGCGACGAGGAGAACTAGATGTGCCGAGTTTGGCCTCGTTTTGTTAGTTATGATAAGAACTTACCTACGGACTTGATAGAGTGACTTGAAAGTGTACTTTGATGACTGCTACTGGAACTCCTCGACGAGGAGAACTAGATGTGCCGAGTTTGGCCTCGTTTTGTTAGTTATGATGAGAACTTATCTACGGACTTGATAGAGTGACTTTAAAGTGTACTTTGATGACTGCTACTGGAACTCCTCGACGAGGAGAACTAGATGTGCCGACTTTGGCCTCGTTTTGTTAGTTATGATGAGACCTTACTTCCGGACTTGACGGAGTGACTTAAAGGTATACTTCGGTGACTGCTACTGGAACTCTTTGACGAATAGAACTACAATTTACATTTTTTTTACTATCATATGAGCATTTCTGGATTTTCCAAACTTTTTAAATAGTAATTTGAGATAAAATTATCGGAAAATTGCAAGTATAGTAATAAGGTTATTAGTGAAAGTTGTGTGTATTTAAACTATTTAAAAAATTAGGTGTGATCATGTTATATGTAATTTTTTAATGCGCTTAAGGCATGTACAGTTGGAGTTACGAATAGTTTTTATTTATTTTAACAGATAAAAGTTATATTAACCATCTTTAAAGTACCGTATAAAAAGGCAACCGAGATAATAGGAACACTGTATAATGTATTCTATCTCATTCCCCCGTAGGCTAAATTCTATAGATGTATATGTCTGTCTCATTTTAGCGTCGCTTTTTCGTTTCACCGAGTATTAAATCACAACGATTCTAAAGAAGTTTACATTTCAATAAAAGTGTCTGTCTGTAATATCAAAATAACTGACTTCTTTTAGACTCAAGATGTTTGTTATTAGCAAGCTATCAAAACATCAACAACCATTTTTTAAATTTCGTCCGCCTGTCTTCACGCACAGGTAAAATAATATAGGCTATATTTTAACCGAAAATCCTGGAGTGTAAAAATAAAGAAAACCACATAAATAGGTCCTAACGAAGCGAAGCCGAGGCAGAAATCTATTAAATAATATGATGAATAAATCAAGACATGAACTGAAGTTGTAAATAATCAAATTAAAATAGCCACGATGACTTCAACGTCAAAGTTTTTCAATAAAAATGTAAAAACTTTCAGCGGAGCCATGTTGCGCCTATGGAATTATTTTAAAGCACAGACTAATATCGGAACAGAGAATACACAAATATGAGTGCAAATCGATATAAATAAAAATCAATTGCCACAGGTACGAAAGAGATTCGAGAACGACTGCACCGATTTTGATGATTTTTTTTTTGTGTGTGTTTGAGTGGGTCCCTGGATGGTTTGGATTCACAATTGGACCCGTTAGGTTTTTTTTTTTATAGGAAAGTGGGCAAACGAGCATGCGGCTCACCTGATGGTAAGTGACTACCGCCGCCCATGAACAACCGCAACATCAGGGGAATTGCAGATGCGTTGCCGGCCTTTTAAAAAGGATTAGGCTCTTTTCTTGAAGGTCCCTAAGTCGTATCGGTCCGGAAAAATCGCTGGTGGTAAACTATTCCACAAGGAAGTTGTGCGAGGAAAAAAATATCTTCTAAATCGCACAGTGGTGGACCGCCAATCATCCAGATGGTGTGGATGGTATCGGGAGTTCTGTCGCGATGTGTGATCGTGAAATTTGGCGGCTGGGATTAATCCGAACAATTCCTCAGAGCACTCCCCATGGTAAATGTGAAAGAAAATGCAAAGAGATGCAACATCTCTTCGCAGTGCCAATGAGTCGAGCCGATCGGAAAGGACTCGGTCGTCGACGATTCGAGCCGCTCTGCGCTGGATGCGGTCAAGTGGAAGGAGCTGGCACTGGGGAGCCCCAGCCCAGAGATGGGAACAGTATTCCATGTGAGGCCGAACCTGCGCCTTGTAAAGTTGTAAAGTACAGGTGGTGTGCCGGCATGAAATACTGTCCCGCTCTGCTGAGCACGCCAAGCTTTTTAGAGGCCAATTCGGCCTTCTCTTCCAAGTGACCACGAAACTGCACGTCACTTGATATGTCGACGCCGAGGATTCCGATACTGGCTGAGGCAACATGGGGAGTACCTTAAAACTGAGGAGATACGACAAAGGGGTTCTTTTTAGCGGTAAACGCGCAAACTTGTGCCTTCTGAGGATTAAACTGGACTAGATTTAGTCGCCCCCAATCCGAGACTTTGTCCAGCAAAGACTAGACTTCAGACACAAGTTTGTTCCGGTACTCGGTGACGCTTTACCGAGAAATATTGGCACGGCCGGTGTATAGAGCATCACCAGTGCTGTCATCCGCATAGCAATGAATGCTACCGGCTTGCAACATATCATTGATATGCAGAAGAAACAGCGTTGGTGATAGCACGCAGCCTTGTGGAACACCAGCGTTAATAGGCTTGTAGTCGGAGCATGCACCGTCTACAACGACCTTGATGCTCCGATCTGCAAGAAAGCTGGTGATCCAATTGCATAATTTCTCGGGAAGCCCATAGGAAGGGAGCTTCGAAAGAAGCGTTTTGTGCCAAACCCGATCGAAGGCCTTCGCAATGTCCAAACTAACGGCCTCCCCCTTGGACTCTACTGCCTCCGCCCATCTATGAGTTAAGTAGACCAGAAGATTACCAGCTGATCGACCCAGACGAAAACCGTACTGGAGGTCACTAATCAGCTGGTGATCCTCAAGGTACCGCATGTGGTGGCAGTTTATAACGGATTCCATTATTTTGGAGAACAAGGGGGTGATG